CATCGTCAGAGACCACTTGGACTTTTCGGGAGCTTGGACCTGGCTCGTCTTCACTGATACCTCGTTTTTTATCGTGGCTTATTGCTTCAGCCTGGGACTGATCTTCTTTTTTAGTCAGATTGGCAATGGCACTGAGCAATCTCTTCTCCATCTTATCCATTGCAATATCAAATGTATTCGAGAAGTTCACGGTATTCTGCACCTTTTCTGCGAGGATCATTTTCTCGGCTCTACTGATCTCCCCCTCGATATCGGAAATATAGCGGTCAAGCATCCTTATTTGGTATTCCACTTTAGCGGCTACGTGGTTGGGATCACGCTTCTTGTCCTCGTCCCATTCAGATCGTCTTTTCCCTGAGACCTTGCCGCTATCCGCCGACATTCTGTATATTGAGTGGACCAGCATATAGCGCTGAGTGAAACTGAGAAGCTTCTCCTTCGCATATGTAGCGGTTCTCAGCATTCGGCTTACATACATCATTAGTTCTCCGCCACCGATCTTCACTCCTGTTGTGGAGAGCAAATGGTGTGTGAGCTGGGTGTCCAATGTTGCCGCCATTTTGATGTGTTGCTCTATCTCTTGGAGTGATGTGGTCATATCCTGCTCCAAACTCTCTGCAGGAACCGCTTCCTGGTACAACATGGAGACGAAAGTGAAATCGGCGAGATACGCACTTCCTTCCGGCATGATTCCGAGATCGATCTGAAAAGATTTCTGACCTCTTTTTTTTCCAATATTGTGTGAAAAGAAAACCTGTCTTGCTAGATATTGCTGAAGAAATCTATATTGGTAGATATTGCTATCCCCTGTACAGTTATTGAATATTCTACTTATTATTGATGCTAAGGGGTCTCTTGCTGATAGCCTAATGCTGTTTATTATGAGTAGAGGAGAATAATATCCGCATGAGGCTAAAGAATAATATCCGCATGAGGCTAAAGAAAAGACTAAGCTCAGTTTCGGTATGTATAGGAACCCTTGCACAAGTAACTTCGGTCCAAAGGTGGTAATGACCAAATAGGTAACAGCTACGGCTATCAAAAGTCCTGCTACCGCCACGATCAGCGTCTTATACCATTGAAGGAATACCATACCAATATGGATGAAGTCTGGAAACACAAGTTCCGTACTTGTTATTGACTCTCCTTCGATCCATTTTTGGATCATTCCTTGAAATGACGCCGTAAACTTGAGTATGCCGCCTATTTTGAAAGCGTTCACTCGTTTCCCACAGGACACCGAGCAATCAAAAAATGTTCGGGCTTCAGTTGGGCTAAATCGTATTACCGAGGTGACTCCTGTGATATTGCATGGTATTGTGAAGCCTATGTCATTGCAAAGTACCTCAGCTTGGATATTGTTTCGCGAGGAATAGCAAGTGACATCAGTGAAGGCCCCTTTGGGGCAGCTGTAACATCCTCTCAATTCCGTGGCTTCAGCTGTGCAGAACGCTTCCTCTACGATGACTTCTGATTTCACTGAGCCCATGAAGTTCATGATGACCTCTGATGTGACCATACTCATGACTTCTGCCCTTACTTTGGCCCTTTCATCCTGGTAAAAGGAAATGGAAGGCAAATTCACTGGTAACTGATTCTTGATGTCATTGAACCACGGACCTATTGGGAAGTCCTTGCATTGACAATTAATCTTCGTTTCGGCTGGAAGGCACGCACAATCCTCCACTACAGAACAGTTCAAGTTCGTCGCATCGTCATTTGTGGAGCATTGCAGGGGTGGTAAGGTGTTGTCCTCCATAGAGATGTCCGCGTAGAGTCGGATATAAAGGGAGTGCTTAGAGTCCGAAGTGCTGGAATTGACAGGGAAGTTAGCGTGAAAGTGAGAGACTTCCATTTCTTGGGGATATTGGGAATCAGTTTCTCAGTTATTGTCGATGTCTCCCGCTTAATGCCGTCGAAGTGCGTAATTTCTATATTGGCAGCTTCTCTCCATCTATTGCAGTGAAAGATTTCGTAGACTTTTTCATCGATGGGTACCATGTAGATTCTGTAAAAGAGACATCCGGAGCTGATGAAGAAGCAATCACATCCCGGTCCTCCACATGATTCCACGCATGCTGTGTTTCCTGGGTAGCGGTTACCCTGCTCCAGTTCCGGAATGAGGGTGGACGAATTGATTATGCCGCATTTGTCTCCTTTACATGACCCAACGTGCGGGGATCTTTTACTGTCGATGACGTTGTATATTGAGTCGCGTGTGAAGAGAGTCGTCTCCGGTTCACACAATAGTTCTAGCGATTTCCATCTCAGCCTAATCTCATGGAGTAGAGTGGTATTGTCTAACAGACGAACGCATGCTTCTCGTTTG